ACGACGCGTTGTTAGTGTTAACGGAGTGACACTACAGTGTATCTAAACCGACACTGCCTCACGTATTATTTTTATATTATCAAATATAATGAAACTGCAGTTATATCAAAAATGATATTGTAGTTATGGTGAAATGAAACTGCAGTATATATAAAATGAAACTGAATAACATTTCACATATTTGAGTGTATATTGTACACTGAAGCTGTAATTATATCGAAATGATCATGTAGTTGTGTTTTAATGAAACTATAGTGTATATAAAATAAAATTAAATAAAATTTTCACATATTTGAGTGTATAAATATTGAATGAAACTGTAGTTATATCGAAATGAAACTGTAGTTGTGTTGAACTGAAACTGCAGTGTGTACAAAATGAAATTGAAGAACAGGGTTATTTTTTGCGGAATGGTGCGGAACGACGCGAAACGGATTCTGTTTCTTTTCATTAAATAAAACAACGTCGTTTTGATGCTCGATGCATAATCGATTATACACCGCAGTGCACGATATAATTTGCCCCAAACTTCATCCCTAGGTCCCAATCACATTTTGGTCCCTATAAACCCTTGGCTCGAAATTCCAGACCCCTCCCATCACCTTTGGCCTGGACCCAAGCCCCGTCAGCACTTTTAGCCACCGTTTGAAAATTTGAAAAATATTTTCTAGATAATTCGTCATTTAAAAAAAATATATATCATTTTCTAATGTTTAATTGAATGTTAGAAAACATTTTTTTTCTGTTTAGTTGAAAATAAGAAAATTATGTTTTTTTTTCTTTGGTTCATTTTATAAAAATTGAACAGAAATCTATTACAAAGTTATTTAATACAAAATATTAATTATATTGTTTTAATGATGATAATAATTATTACTTATATTAAAATAAAGTTTATAAATTAAAATGATAATAATTATAAGATCAACTATAACAAAAAAGATGTAGATAAAAAACTTTTAACTTGTAACTTATTATAATAAAATAAATACATAAAGTGATAACTTGCAATAACTATAGACTAACAAAATTGAGGAAAAAATTGCTTTTTAAAATTTTTTGGGCTGGCGGCTATTGGGTTAGTGTAGACTAAGATTTTTATTTATTTTTGCTAACCCGGCCTAATCCATATTTATTGGCAAATTATGTTGTCGGTTCCAAAACTGTTCATAATTATGAATATATTTCTATAATTATGAATATAGAGTTGTGAACATAATTATGAACATATAGTTCCGTAACTATTTGTGAATATGAAGTTCAAAAATTATGAATATATAGCTTTATAATTATGAACATATAGTTCAGTAATTATAAATATAGAGTTCTGTAATTGTGAATATAGAGTTCAATAATTATGAATATGAAGTTAAAAAATTATGAATATATAGCTTTATAATTATGAACGTATAGTGTAGTAATTATGAATATATGTGTTCAAAAAAAATTATGAATATAGAACCGTGTCCACCTTACAAGGTGAACACGGTTCCACAACATAACGATTGATATTTATTTTGGGAATGATAAATTAATAACTATAAACTAAAGAAATTGAAGAAAAACCAAACTTGGGTTGTGGGATAGGTTAAAATTTTTGTTATTTGGTCCAATCCAACCCAACTCATATTTAATCAAGTATTGATAAATGTAATATATTTAAACTAAAGAAGATGAATTTTAAAAAATTAATTATTGTAATTTTTGGCTATTGGTCAAGTCGCATCAATATTTTTAATGTTTGGCACAACCCAACTTAACTCAGATGGAACTAACTGTGTCAATTTGGGTGTCTCAGATTTCCTACAACTTCTCGTTAGAACAATGACTCTCATACGAGGCTAGCACGTTAATACTTTAATGATTCAAATTATCGGTTGACATGTGTGAGTATGCGGGATAATCACCTATTTGAGAGAGAAGTGATGTCGCTTTAAAGGAGAATTGATTGGGCTTAATTCTTTAGAAATTCTTGTAGAACCAGGAATTGTGACCCATGACCAAAACAGGTATAGCCATAAGAACATAACATGGTTGGAAGCTAGGTTCCTGTGTGGGATATATCGTCTTTTACACAAACAACAGTCAGATCAAAGATATTGTGTTTTACCAAACAACTAGTAGAGTAAACATATCTTCACAAGGGAATGTTCAACGGGTGACACCTACCTATCCTATGGAGGGATCAGCCGTTGAACACAGTCATTTTGTTTTTAAACAATTCCGAAAATCAATTTTCATTCATGTGGGGATTGTTGGAAAAAAATGAGCAAAAATAGCATTGTAAGTGCGTGGCTATTTTGTGGTGCAAATATATGTAGGGTCCATGAGGTCCACTTTCGATTTGGGTTGGGTCAAATTGAATTTGAGATCTTCGTAATGAGACGAAAATATTTATATATTGTACGCTCAAAACGGATAATGAGTAAATGAGAAATTAAGTGCATAGCACATTTTGGTATAAGTGCATGCCTCTCAAACTTTACATCACTTGAAACGATCAAATTGGTTGCAATGGATAACAATTGAGGATTGGATTGAGACATACTAACATTATTATCATCATCATCGACGTCATCATTGTCATTGTCATCCTTATTATTTAATTCATGATTTAAATTAAAATAACATTTTCTAAAACTCTTCCATTGCAATTAAAATCAATTTATAAATTTAAAAAAACATAATTATCAAGTATAAAAATAATAAATTATACATAAATATATATAGTTTTTGAAAAAAATGAGCTCCAACAATTGAGAACCTTGTGTTGTAGCCTTGGCCATACATAGCTAGGACCAATTCCGAATTATCTTTTTAAGTATATGTTGTCCCTCAATTTTCCTCCCATATAGTAATACAAGAGGGGCAATATATGTATCGTTTTAAAAATTAAAGATCAACATTTACATTACTAATAATTCATGGGTGACGTTGATAATTGACATATTATGGAGGATATACATCACAATTTTTCCTTAAAAATACAAATAAAACTGTTTTAGGACTAAACCGTGGGTAATTAAATTTAGAGTTAATAACCGATTTGGTCCTCCGACTATTGCGAAATTACCGATTTAGTCATCGACTATAATCCTTACCAAATTAAGTCCTCAATTTTCATATTGTTACCCGATTTCGTCCTTCCTCTCTTTGACCGTGAAACCTCCGTTTTCTCCAAGGATAATAAGGTAAATACACATTGCAGCTCAGCGCTCTGCCGCCACAGCCTCCCCTTGCTCCGTCTCCGCTACTCACGCTTCGTCACCATTTTCCGTTCGAATGGAGGACGATGACAACAGTTTTCGACTAATCTGATTCTTGATGTCTCTCAACTCCATTGCTCCCGTCGGGGCTTTGTCTATCTGTCTGTGCTTGCAGAATAATGAAATCAGAGCTTTGCTGAATTGCTGTACACCATTATTTGTAATGCCAAAGGATTTTATTTCATTAAATCTATGAATACAAAGCCATTCCACAGACTGTGCAAGAGTATCGACCGGAGGAGGTTCCTAGACCTAGTGTATATTATCCCCATGACGAACCCCAGAAATATTAGCGGTAACATCCTCTGCACATTAAAATACGCTAAAGCAAAGGCGACTGAACTCACATCGGAGCACACACGACCAGTACTAGTGCGTAGAGCGCCATAGCCACCAGATCTCGTGCCATTATCGACTGCTCAACGCTGGAGAGTGTGACGGGAGTGGAAGGCAGCATAGGAAGCAGGTCGAGGTTGAACTGTGAGAGTTAATTTACAAGTGGAAACATGAAGCATCCAAGAACGAGATCAAAGATCCAGTTTCCTCTCACGCTAAATTTGAACCAATCACAAGGAAGGGGACGGAAACGAGATAAGCACCATTGAAGAATTAAAATTCCAACTAGGCCCTCGGTTAGACGGTTACATCAGTCAATAGGCTTAACAAAGCCTGCCCTCTAAATGTCAATGATTCTTTACTAAAACCCACCAAGTGCGCTCCAAAAGGAATCATCCACGAACCAATAAACCAGAAGGACACAATCCAAAGGAGCATAACTTGCAATACCATAGGATGCACTTGGTAAACACATATGGCTATTGTATACACCAAAGTGCACGTCAAACAAACTTTAAATGCATTTAACAGGAGGCACGAGACTACCATCAAAAGGAATTTGCATAAAAAACTCATCAACTAATCCCGCCACCACCATGCCCGATCTTCTTCTCCGGGATCCGCATTGCATTTCTCAGCAACCGTTGCTGTTTCTTGCTAGAGATGAGTTTCCCGCAGAAAATAATATTGTCCTGAGGGTTAGAAAGGACATTCTTCTTCCACTCCTCGCTAAAAATTCTCGAAGCCGCCGTCACCTTCTCCTTCGGAAGCCGCCACTGCCAATGACGAGACATGAACGTTGCTTCTTCTCGACGGCGACTTCACCGAACAACAAATTTGATGGGCGCGAGTGATTCTTGGTCTCTCCATGTTTTACGGTGACCGCAGAGCAGCTTCAATGGATGGTTGTTTGTCTTTGACTCCCTTCTTGGACTGTTCCAATTTGAAATGGCGTCTGGAGCTTGGATTCAGTTGGAGTTGGTGTATGGTGGCTGATGTTCCATCGTTACACTCCAATGTCCACAATTTTTTCGGCCGTTTTGGATGGTCTCTGGTCCGTGATGACGGGTGGTATACAAACCACGCACTTGTCGGCGATGGGAGGAAAACCGGAAAACGGGGAGAAGGAAGAGAAATGTGAAATTACATTTTTGCCCTTAAATTTAACAGCTTATAGATGGAATGTTAACGGAGGACTAAATCGAGTAAGATTTTAATAATAGAGGACTTAAATTGGTAAAGATTATAGTCGAGGATCAAATCGGTAGTTTCACAATAGTCAGAGGACGAAATCGGTTATTAACTCTTAAATTTATAAGTAATTAGAAAAGTCGCAAAACAAAGGGTTGTGGAATTGATGATTTGATCCAAATTGGGAAGAGACAAACAAGTGACGTGGCGCGGTAGGATAATCCGATATATAGTTATCCCCGAAATATACTATGTATTATGTAAATGTTCTTGATCGCCAAATTTAGCAGTACTGTACTATAGTTTGAATCTGTCATCTTGCCTGCCTGGGTTGCTATAAATTCATAACCCATTTTTAGTTTTGAGTCCTTCGCCTCCACGAAATCTCGTCTCCACCTATGAATACCTATAAACACTTAATTTAAAATCTTATCTGAAAACTCGGTGAGTGGAATCGCCGAGTCAGCTGACCCCAGGATGACTCGGCGCTGCTCTCACTGCAGCAACGACGGCCACAACTCCCGGACGTGTCCGTCCAGGGGTGGCCCCGCCGCCGCCGCCGCAGGTGGCAGCGTTCGCCTTTTCGGGGTCAGGCTTACGGATGGGTCGATCATGAAGAAGAGTGCTAGCATGGGGAACCTGGGCTCCTTCATGAAGAAGAGTGCGAGCATGGGGAATCTCTCCTCCTCCGCCGCCGCCTCGCCCAACCCCGGCGGCTCTCCTTCTTGGGATGTTCTCCGGGAGCCCGCCCACTCCACCGATGGGTACCTCTCCGATGATCCGGCTCATGCTTCTTCTTCTACCAATCGCCGGGCTGAGAGAAAGAAAGGTCCAATTCATTTCATTTTCAATTCCCTAATTTCTTCAATTTTCCTCCTTTTTATTTAATTTGAAGATAATTCAGTCACTATTTGTATTTGGATTTGGATTTGGATTGTATGTGCTGAAAGATATTGATTTTCTTGGAAATTTGGATTGCTGTGTTTATATCACATCTATGTTGGATCTTTTGGTTGCTATTAATGCTAAATGAAATGTTTTTAATAGAACACATCATTCCCTTCCCTTAGCAGAAATCAATGTATTTTAAGATGCTAACTCATATTTATACATGAATCATCATAGCTATATTTAGTAAAGACTCCTTTCCTTGCAGAAAGTTTTACAATTCTAGCTGACCCAAGAATCGTATATCTAATAGCATCCCTTGAATTTACTATAAATGGTTTAAAGGCTACATGAATTCTTCATTGGTTTAAATGGTTTTATCCCTTGAAACCTGGAATGTGATAATATGGCTTTTGGTTTTAGAATCGAAGATTGTAGAGAAGACTGAATAGTATTCGTGTGGCTCTATGTTTCTGTTTTCTACTTGATTGGATTAAAATTGAAGTTTTAGTTGTGTAGTTTGACGGGAACCTGGAAAGTTAAAAGCACCTCTGATGGATTCAGTCTGCAGGTGTTCCGTGGAGCGAGGAAGAGCACCGGCTTTTCCTGCTTGGTCTACAGAAGTTGGGCAAAGGAGATTGGCGGGGCATATCACGCAACTTTGTTACCACGAGAACACCCACCCAGGTAGCTAGCCATGCCCAGAAGTATTTTATCCGCCATAGTAATGCTACTCGGAGAAAGAGGCGTTCTAGTCTTTTCGATATGGTTCCAGATGCGGTGGTACGTCTTCCTTCTCGAATCGTGTTTTTATCACTCTACATGCTTGCGATTGATTACGCTTTTTCATAGCAAACCACTTTCTCACTAGAATGCTTATATCTATTCTTGTTTTTTTTTTTTTTTTGAGTACTACTGACTCTGTTACAATGCAGTATCTGTTCATATATCTATTCTTGTTTTTTTTTTTAGTTCATATATCTATTCTTGTTTTTTTTTGAGTACTACTGACTCTGTTACAATGCAGTATCTGTTCATATATCTATTCTTGTTTTTTTTTGAGTACTACTGACTCTGTTACAATGCAGTATCTGTTCATATATCTATTCTTGTTTTTTTTTTAGTACTACTGACTCTGTTACAATGTAGTATCTGTTCATATATCAATTCTTGATTTTTATGCTTTTGCACAGGCGATAGATCCCCAACCGATGCCAGAAGAACAATTTATGCTCCCCCCGCAGGCCTTAGAAACCGAGACTGCAGAGCTGGTTCCTCCCGCTTCGAAGGCGGTGGAAACCGACTCCGCAGACTCGCTGCCTTCTTTAGATCTCTCTCTCAAGCCCGATGTTGATTCCATGGACGCCACTCCAACTGAGCTCGTTCAGGAAAATTTTACAGTCACGACTGAAATCCCGTTGGTCTATCCACAGTTCATCCCAGCTTACATCCCTATTCCGTTCCCAATATGGCCATCAAACGCGGTTGCTCTGGATGAAGATAGAGGCGGCGCAGAGACCTCCCGCCATCAGATACTGAAGCCAATTCCAGTAGTCCCGAAAGAACCCGTGAATGTAGATGAACTCGTGGGAATGTCCCGACTGAGCTTAGGGGAAACGCGTTCCGGCCAAAAGGACCCTTTGCCCCTATCGCTTAAGTTGACGGGAGAATCATCGAGGCAATCGGCATTTCATGCTAGAACTCCTGACAACAGCTCAGGAATTAGCAAGGGTGAAACTACTCCAATCCAAGCACTCTGAGTGGTCTTGGAAGATTGGCCATTTATGGTGTAATTACTCCTTTGTCTTTTCAATTCCTTCCCCTTTGAGCATCACAGCCTAGGATTTGTCAAAAAGACATGAAATAGGATTTTATCAAGCAAGATATTCTTGTCCTTTCTTGTAATTTGTAAACAATCTAGGAACTGATAATTTGGTCGTGAAATAAACTTTTCACTGCTAAAATTCATTTCTTTAGTCTATGAATGTGTTTTACCTTGCGGAAAGAATGGGAGCCAGATTAATTCTTACTAAATATATCAACCTACCCCTAAAATGCATGGAATAGAAGAATGGGAGCCAGATTATTTTGTTTATTTGTACCAGAGTTAACCGTTTTTGTCCATGTAAACAAATAACTTTGATAATTGCTGACACATAATATAATAGTTACAAGTATAAAAACTATCAACTGCAGGTACAAAATATGTCAACTATAGATACAAAATAATTGCTAACACATAATATGATAGCTATAGGTACATAAACTATCAACTGCAGGTATAGAATGTGTCAATTATAGATACAGAATTTGATTTGATAATTGCTTACACATAATATAATAACTACATGTACAAAAATTATCAACTGCAAGTATAGAATGTGTCGACGGTCATTGAATTTGCAAAATTTCTTGTTGAAGTACAGAGACCTATATTTCCTCAAAAAAAAAAAAAAAAAAAAAAAAAAAAAGTACAGAGACCTATATGATAGGTCTGGGAACACTATTTTTACAATTCCAAAATAGTACTTTTTTTACAGTACTTTATTAACCCACTTCTATGCAACAATTGTGATAACTAATTTCTTTTTTATCAAACCAATACAATATATATATTATACTATATTTACAAGCCCCTAGTGGCTAGTGCTACCTGCATATTATTGGAGTACCATACTCATAACTTATCTAAGCTGGAAGTTCAATGTCTTGATGCAATAGGAATACATGAATGCAAAGAACACTGCAAAACCAATCAGAGCTGCAGCAACTGGTCCCATGAAGTCTGATTCATACCCAAAATGATCTTTGATGTAGTCATTGATCTTAGGATCAAAAGTCATTCCTGGAACCTTAATGGTCTGTTCTACATCTCCATATTGTGAAACTATGCACCCATATACGGTCCATGCCACGGGGCAAATCCAGTAGTACCAGATCCACCACTTGGGAATTCTCTGTTGTAAATGCAATCACATGAATCAGAATTGTGGTTTACGTACTATTAGCAAGCATGGTTAGTTTGTTAAGAAATGTAAGAAAGAAAAGGTTTAACTCACGGGTCTGGGGATGAAGAAACCGGAGAAAAGGTTGAAGAGCGCGTAGAATGCTGCTGCAAAGATGGCGGCCACTTGGTGGTTTGGTGTGATGGAAACAGTCATCATCCCGTAGTATGTCCAGTAGAGGAAGGAGAAGAATGTCACAAAGTAAAACCAGAAGAATTTGGCTGCTGTCCAATCAAATCCCACCATGGCATACACTATGAGAGTGTAAAATGTAGTTTGAACAAGAACATATGGTATTTCACAAACAACCTGCAAGCCAAGTTACGAGGTTGCTCTTATGAATTTCTTGAAATCTTGAAGAAATCGAAAACATGGTTATGGTTATGGTTATGGTTACTGACCTGTGACATAGCATATGGCAATGCTGCGTACATTCCAGCAGCTTTTTCACGATAAAACACAGTTCTCTCGGTGGCTACAATGGGCTGTACGGTTGAGCAATTGCTGATTCCAACAAACAGTACGGCTGCATACATAGCTCCAATGACTGTCATAAGATCACCACCGGTTTCTCTGAATCACATGGAAATGGGAATAATTAGTACTGGAAATGAAACTATGAAGACTGTTCATTCTATGTAGACTGAAGACTTACATTTTGCCACCAATATTCCAAAAGATTGTGCCAACCATTAGTGCTGCAACTAAAGTGAAGAAGTATCTAACAAGGTTATAATCTGGACTTCTCCAATAAGTCCACCACTGCTTCCATAGGCAGGATTTGAATTGGCCCCATGTGGACTGAGAATATTGGGTAGCAAAATAAAGGTCATTTGCTCCAGGGGGAGGGGTACTCAACTCTTTCACAAGCTCCTTGTTTCGTCTGTGCATTGTTACATATATAAACATTATATTAGGCTCAACTATTTCATAATACACCACAGTTGAGTCTTGAGTTGATTAATATATATTTGAACTTACTGGTGCAAAGATGATGATTTGTAGTATTCAGCGAAATCCATTCCAAGCCGGAGTTCTGTGGAGATCGAACTCGCTTCTAACATCCAGGTAGCTGGATTATACTTCTCCGCGATTTTAGGTACTCCTGGAACTGCCTGCATTCCATGATCAGTTTTTAATTTAGTGCTTTCTTTAATTTGATGATGTAATAACAAGATAGAAGTAAAAAAGTTGGGTACCTCAAAATACTCGATAATTTTATGAGACTGTTGGCCTAATGGCCCTGCATAGATCACTTGTCCTCCTCTTTTCATTAGCAGCAACTGAAGCACAGTACAGAAAGATGCATGTATTAGAGGAAGTCGTAAAATGCTGGCAAACATTTTATTTATTTTTTTGTTTTACTTTCGTGGAGCCTTTACCTCGTCGAATGCTTCAAAGATATCAATGCTTGGTTGATGAATGGTGCAAACAACAGTTCTCCCGGTGTCCACTGTGTTTCTGACAGTTCTCATAACGATAGCTGCAGCTCTCGCATCAAGACCAGAAGTTGGTTCGTCCATGAATATAATCGAGGGATTGGCAACCAGCTCAACTGCTATGGTCAACCTCTTCCTCTGTTCAGTTGACAGACCAGAAACTCCGGGGATCCCTACAATCGCATCCTTGAGGTTTTCCAGCTCAACAAGATCCATTACTTCATCGACAAAAATCTGGACGAAATGTCAAAAGAAACTAGCTTTAGTATCTTGATTTAAAGAAAAAATTATGTTGGGGAATAGAATCTCCTACCATTTTGTCCTCATTGCTAACTTCTTTAGGAAGCCGAAGGAAAGCTGAATATATCAACGATTCACGAATTGTTACTTGAGGTGAGTGTATGTCATTCTGTTCACAGTAACCGGAGACTCTAGCAAAGGTCTCTTGCTTCTTTGGGAATCCCGATATTCTGATGTCCCCTTCAATGTAACCACCGGTTTTTCGCCCTGCAAGAACATCCATCAGCGTAGTCTTTCCCGCTCCACTGACTCCCATCAATGCAGTCAAAACCCCAGGCCTAAATGCGCCTGTTACTCCCTTCAGTAGTTGGAGCCTATCCTCTGTCACTCCTTGATCTCTCATTTCCTGTAAATATTTCAATTATATCAGAAACACAAGTTTCGTGTCATTGGAAAGAAAAAACGAGACAGGGGCTATTGATTCTTACAGCAGGCATGTCCACGAAATATTTAACATCATCAAAGGACATGGCTAAGGGTGTAAATGGTAGAATCATTCCTTTCTTGGGAGCAATGCCATTTGCAGACTCGAGGCTTGAATCTTCATTCCTACTAAGCCCATTTTTATTGGTACGACTGCTCATGCGCTGGATTTCCATTTCTCCTGAAAAAGAACGGTATAAGGTCAGAAACTATTACATATTTACATCCATGTGAAAATTCATACAATCAAGATTCTTACTTGAGTTGTTTCCATCAGCTGCAGATAATGAATGAGGAAGTCCATTGTTCCTCGACTTTGTTGTTCTTAGTCTAGGCGATTCTGAGGACTCTTCTTGTTCATTTTCCATTTCCTTTGCCTGCTCTTTGGATATTATAGCTTGTTTCTGCTCAAGAGCTGTTGTGATACACAACAACACAATTCAGAAACTAATGAATGAGTGAAAACTGAAAAGCAGTATATGCTACATAGTTTTATGAGAACTGAGAAGTTGGCTACTCACGGTTAAGGTACATAAGGGCGAAGGTGAATAGAATGTTGAAGAAAACAGTGAATCCCAAAAGCGCAGCAGAACCTATCCAAAACCATCTCTTTTCAGGGAACACATCATAGTTCTCCATCACTTTTGTTCCTAATCTTATATTGCCCGAAACCTGTGAATACACAATGCAAGTACATCATCAGGATATATGAAACTTTGTTTTTGAGGTGAAAAAGATATGGAGAGAACTGAGAAGTGCTCATAAGCAAGAAAACATACAAATTTGTTCATCCATCTTGGAGCAAACATCTCATTGACGGTTAAAGCATTGAAGCCATAGGTCAAAGGAGAAATCCAATAGCCCCAACCCCACCAGTCCGGAATTGCACCTGTCATCAAGAATTGTGTCGTCTTGTTAGCTAAACAATCTAGACTCTCTGAGACATTTTATCAAACACGTTACGGGTTTTATTTTCCAGTGGACAAACCTTTGGGAAGGATGAAGCCACCCAAAAGGAAAACAAGGAGGAGACTCAGAGCTCCACCTGTGTTTGCAATAACCATCGTCCTGCAAAGCGCCGCAATGAGCCTAAACAAACCGGCAGCCATTTGCTGGACCAGAAAAATCACCAAGAATTGCTTGAAGAATCTGCTAGCTTCAGGAGCAAATCCCATTGTATAGTATGTTATCACCATCCAAACAATCGACTCGAACACAGATATGGGAATCCTGAGCAGAAACGTAGGCAGAGTGAAAGCCCATGGCGGATGGAACAGAAGATCCCTCTGCTTGTAAAACACAGGAAGCCTCTGAATCGTCATTGTCAGCTCAGAAAAACCATTGAACATGTTGATGATCATCGCGAACAGCAATGCTCCAATGTAGATCCCCCCGTCGTCTTCATTCCTAGTATGCAACTTGGTTCTGAAGAACACAGTGGACGCAATTATGGCCACGATGATGATCTGAACCGTCTTGAATACGTACACAAAAGAGTTCCTCTTGATCAGCAGCCATTCCTTGTCAAAATTGGCTTTCAAAAGCTCCTTAACTGGAACCGTATACTTCTTGAACACCAAAGCTGCCTGGTGGTTCCTTGATTTGTCATAGGGAACTGAAAGCTCGTTTTCTAGCCTCAAACCAACGTGGAAACTCTTGAAATTTCTGGCGAATTCTTTCACGGGTATGAATCTGTATGGCTTCCTCTTATCTGCCCAGTATTGTTCTTGATCCTTTCTCGACGTAACCTCTTGTAAGAAGTCAGCAGTGCCTTTTCTGTCGGGGCATTTGAATCCGCAGGACTCGAAGAACTCAAGAACATGCTCTCTTGGACCCTG